CTACTTAGACAAAAAAAAGGGAAAATCAGGCCCATAAATGGTAGCCTCCCTTTACACACAATTCTATGATGCCAGCTTTAAAAACCCCTCACGTTTCCTTCCTATCCTTTCAGCTATTCAGCTACAGCATCCAAACACGAAGCAACACTATCACTGATATTCTTCTCCCGTTCAGGATGAGTATTTCCCCACAATGGAAGGCAGCAACGTCCATCCGATATTGGGCAAGCAAAGGACAACCTTTCATTATTTGTTTTGTGCAAAACCATGGGAACCAGTGGCTTTATTCTATTAGTAAGTACCTGTTCTTTGAAAGTTTGTCCACTTCAAACAAACATTGGCTGTCTTATCAGGGATTGTTACAATCTTACATTACAATCTTACTTGTACAGATCCAAATACTCTTGCACAGTCACGTTGTCCATCCCCATCCCCTACCTCGAAAATATCTGAGGTTCTACTGCTGTTTGCTACCTTGGTCTCATATTTGACTCCGAGGTGAGCTCCTGACCATGTATCTGCGTCCTCAATAACAGCATTGATTTCTACGTGAAGAATAAAGTGCAATTTAGCCCTCTGTTCTTCACATCCGCTGGTGAAGTGGTAATATCACGGGGCTAGTAATTGAGAACTGCAGGCTAATTTTCTGTGGATGTGGATCAAATCCCGCCATGGCAGATGTTGAAAAGTGAATTTGATAAAAATCTGGAATTAAAAGCTTGTGTAAATGGCAACCATGTGACCATTGACAGTTGTTGTAAAATCGGATCTGGTTCACTAATGTCCTTTAGCAAAGGAAATCTGCTATCTCTACCTGTCCACATCTGCTCATATGTGACTCCACATTAACAACAATATGGTTGACCCTTAACTGGGGCAATTAGGGATGGACAATAAATGCTGTCCTAGCCAGCAATGCCCACATCCCATGAATTGATTGAAAAAAAAATCTGTGCTGTTATCAGTAGAGCTTACTTTTCCATTTTACTGTTGATTCAAAGCCCACATTCTACTCTCCATAAACCTGAGATCATTCAAAACTCTGTTGCCTGGTGATTACTCACATTAAGTTCCATTCAAACAACATTCCTGTTCCTTGCTGATCGACATTGGTGAATCAAAACAATTTTAAACTGATAATCCTTCCTTTCAAATTCCTTCCAGAACTCATCCTTCCCTCTCTCTGCACTCCACTCTAGTCTTGTAAACCACTAATACATCTCCGGTCATCTAATTCGGATTTCTTGAGCATTTCTGATTTTAATTATTCCACCATTGGCAGTCATGCCTGCAGCTACTCTGATCCTGGACACGAAAATACCCTCTGTAAACTTCGCCACCTTTCATTCCTCCTTTCAGAGGCTCCTTAAAATCTTTTCCACATTTGGTCTTTTTAAGCCTGATGTGAAACACCTTGATTAATTAAAGGTAACACATAAATATAAGTTGTTGTTATTGTTGAAGGCATGGTAACAGACTACAGACTTTGCAAGAATTCTGGCAGCAAAATTAGATAATTCCAGTGATCAATTGTAGGGATTACAATGCACAATTAGACCTGTCATTCAAAATAATGAGGCAATTTGTAAATTTCATGTTGCATTCTGATTCTACAGGTGTTACAACACCGAGAGAGACAGCCAAACCAAACTCTAGACCCGAAACGTCAGCCTTTCTGCTCCTATGATGTTGCTTGCCCTGCTGTGTTCATCCAGCCCTGCATCTTGTTGTCTCGGATTCTCCAGCATCTGCAGTTCCTACTATCTCCGCTCTTTCTACCTCACTGTTTGTGACATGGTAAAATTAAAACTGTCAAAGACCACCCTCCCCACCTGCCTCCCCGAGAATTTACTCCAATGGTTCCTGAACAGACTTTTGAACAACCAATCCTTGACTTTGCAAATAATTAATTCCAGACACCTACTTTGTATCTTAAACAAAAGACTTAACGATTTATTAAATGCACAGTACCTTTACAGAGAAAAAATAGACAATGAGGTAATCTGATTAATGTCAGAGATAACACAGTGTGGAGCTGGAGGAGCACAGCAGGCCAGGCAGCTTCAGAGGAGCAGGAAAGCAGGATAATTCTTACTATCTCTAAATCTGTTATGTTTCATGTTTAAAGCATAGACATTTTGTTTTCAACCGCATTCGCACAAAACACTGCCAAATAAAAAGCACATTAAGGGATAAATAAAAGAAAATAACAAAAATAACAATAAGGGTCTAGGCCTGAAACGTCAGCCTTCCTGCTCCTCTGATGCTGCTTGGCCTGCTGTATTCATCCAGCTCTACATCTTGTTATCTCAGATTCTCCAGCATCTGCAGTTCCTACTATCTCCATAACAATAATCAAATGGTTTTTATGTCACATTGAAAGAAAGGGCCTGACATGTTATTTCACAGGCCTAGATGTGAGCTCTTTGGTGTATTTTTTCTGGAAAGATTGATCGGGAATACTTTTTTCAGTTTACTAAGGTAAAGGAAATAATACTTCTGCCTCAGCTTTCTACTCACTGGGCTTCTGGAAGCTGGTATTTGAGATAAGGCAGGGAGCTTTGAAATCTTCATGCTGTGTCACCAGCAGCCAAATTCATCTGCACCGAAAACACCGTTCAAAACACCAACTTAGCTATGGTCATGCCCTAATCGACTGACCATCTCTTCCAGAAGCCTCAATTACTATTCAACATCTACCGTTCGCACTTCCACGGTTGCCACAACAAATTCCGAGACACTGACCTTCTTTGTAGACAACTTCTGCTATCTGTTTAAACACAATTGGTGTCGCTATAAAGAATCACCCGGCAATTTACCTTCAGGCCTGGCCTCACAAACAAACAAAGAGCTTTTTTGGTCCATTCTTTTCCTTTTAGCACAAACTAGCTGTCATGCGGTCCATAAGTCATTTCCAGTTCTCAATTCCCAGTCCACACTTTCAAACCAAATTGGTAAAAAATTAAGACTAATGAAAGCATCATCAAGGGTCTTAAGACAAGAAAACAAGGAGATAAGAACTAAGAGCACGCTGGGCTGTAGGGCCTTTTGGGCTTCAATCAAATCATGGCTGATCTAACTTCTCACTCTATTAAACCCACTTTTTCCCTGCTCTTTCTTATTCCTTGTCTGCCCAGAATTCAAATATCTAACTCAACATGCAGTATATTCAATGACTTAGAGAGTCCACAGCTCTCTGGCTGGAAAATTACAGAGATTCATGACTCTCTGAGAGTACTTGAGCAATTCCTTATTCTGACACTCTGCCTCAGAAATCTAGACTCTTTCACAATTTTCTGCCATTAGGGTCTTTTAGCGTCTTCTACTAAGAAGATATAAACATTTTCTTGTTTCCAGCCATTAACTTACTCACGAGTCTCATCATCATGGGACCCATGCTTACTTTAACAATATCTTGTTTTTCCCTGTTTAAGATTTTATGGAAGCTCTACCTGTGAGTTTTTATATTTCTGGGTAGAGTGATCTCAATCTATTTGCTCCTTCTTAATTATTTTTCTAATGATTTCCTTGTTTACAAAATACACTCAATTTCTGGTCCATCACTAATATTTGGAAAATTGAATGCCCTTTCATTGAATTTGATGGCATCCACATCTTTCTTAGTTAGTTACAGATGAATTATGTTTTTTTAAAGTAGCTCTTTCTCAATGGAATATATCTGTGCTGCGAGATATGAAATCTCTCCTACCCTTTAATCTTTTCTTTCCAGTCCATTTTAGCCAGACCTGTCCTCCAACAGTTTGAATGTCATTTTTTAAGTTTAAGGCTCTCATCTCTACCTTTAACATAAAAGTCTTCAGATTTTAAGATCACTCTTCCTTAGGCAATCATTTATTGTGTCTTAATCATGTCTCATTGCAAATTACCAGATCAAAAATTAGCCCTTTGATAGTTGCTTCCATAATATAGTATCTGAAGGAAGTGTCTTAAATACATTCCATGAACTTCTCTTCGACATTGCCAGTTTGTTTTACCCAATCTCTATGAAGATTAATGTTACTCAAAGATATTGCAGTATGTCTTACAAGTCTGCATTATTTTGTAAGATTAAAAGACTACTTTCAGTAAAGACTTCTTTTTCTCACTACTTCTTATCTCCACCCAAAATGATCCTATATCCATTGAGCTCATTATTTATTTATAGAGCTACCACGGCTCCCTGTTCTTACTGCTCATCCTTCAAAAATATCAAGTGTTCTTTAAATTCACTCCCCAGCCTTGATCACCTTGCAGCCATGCCTTTGTAATAGGTACCAAATCATACTCACCCATTCATCTAGCTAGCTCCTAATGCTTTCAACATTCAGCTAAATAAGCTATAATTCTATTACTTTGTTTACAATTTTCCACATTCTGACCCCATTTGTTGACACACTCTTATATTGTACTATTTGACTCCCTTCATCACTCTCTGTCATCCACAACACTATTCTGCAATATTACTTTACGTTCTACATTTACCATGTCAAATTTACTCTCGTTTGAACCTTCATCCCTCACACAATTCCAACACACTCATCATTCTTTTGCTAAGGTCTTCATCAAGGTGGTATTCGGCCTAAGTCGCACTGTAAATGGATGAAAATGACTGTGAACGCAATTTAGTTCTATAGTGACACAGGTAGCATTGACATTACTGCCATTGCAGAGGACCATTTTGAGTTCCCCATTTCTTTCTCCCTAAAAATATTCAGAGGTATTTCCTCACCTGCCACAAGGTGCAGCCCTCAGCTTGGACAACTCTCACTACGGCCACGAGGGGGATCCACATAACACAGAAAGCAATCGTACACCAGCCCAGTGCTATTGCCCAGACAGGGTATTCAACAGGTCCACAGGTTGGAGGGGCAAATGTCGCTAAGGACCAGAACAAGATGACCTGCAAATGATTGCACAAACTGGGTAAGAATGGAATGAAACATTATGTGTCGTTTGATTATTGCCAACTTAAATCACTTAAAGATGTTGCATCTCCTTACTGCCAGCAAACATGGGGAGATCACAATCCAACACACTCTCCACCACAGCCAGAAGAGCCAGTTCTTTTTCCCAATCATCATCTCAATGTCCTTGATAAATCTGTTTATCCCTGTGAACAAAAAGGAAGTACAGAATCACAATCGCTTGCTTCGTCCTATCTTTAAGGTGCTTGTTTACTGTAAAATCTTATCTTGTACTGGGCGGCCCTAATGAACAGGTTTAATCAAAGAAGGAATCAGGATGGGTGAATTGATCCCTGATCACTCATGACTGTAAAATGTTTGCACTCACTCTAGGAGGAGCTCCTATTTCTGACCTGTGCTGAGATGGACAGCTCTGTCATTAGAATGGGGCAGATGGACTACCGAAGTGAGTTTTTCTGTCTTGAGATGAAGATTACCAAGTGGATCCTAGAACGTTAGAAAAAAAAATCAGAACAGACTGAAGCTTAACCTGTTTTGTACCATCAGCCTCGATATTTGGGAGTAAGTGGTTACTGCATGAAATGGCACAAGCTGTTCAATTGGGCTGAAGATGTTTAACCACCAGCAATTAACAGGAAAATGAAGATGAGTATCATAAATGTAAGATGCAGAAGACACTGCTGGTCTCATATTGGCAGTTCCAGCCAACCAGGGAAGATGAAGACCTATCTGTACAACATCAGCCAATTAATTTGTCCTGATTTTTCTGAAAAGACATGCAGATCCCCGTCAATACTTATAAATAGTATTGTTTATTTTGTTTCAATTTTTTTTTCCAATTTATTTACCATAGATCCAGCTGAGACCAATGAGTTCCAGCAAAGCTGTGATAATGACAGTCCATCCAGAACAGAAATGATCCACTAAATCTATCCAGTAAATTCCAGCCTAAAATTTAATGAAACATTCGAAAATGTTACATGAGAAAATATCATATTCTCACATCCAAAATAAGACATTAAAGGGATATTAAGCTTTTACTTTTTTCAGACCGATAACTAATATTTTGGCTAGGAAGCAAGGCAAACACAGGTGAAATCAGAAAGTGACGTCAGATGGATTTCTGCAGGCAATAACTTACAGCCTGTCTTCCCATTGCCTGCACATCTTTTGCATGGCACAATGCAGGAACGTGATGGGGTCTATTCACTTTGCTGAATGACAGCAACTCCAACAATACTCAGCATATTCAATACCATCAAGGACAAAACTGCCTGTTTGGTTGGTAAGCTGCCCATCAACTTACACATTCACTCCCACTGCCATAAAAATAAATATGGTAAAATAGAGAGCAGCTAGGCCTAAAATAATCGACTGTAAATTGCAATTTAATTGCAACTGAGACTTCAGTTAAAAACATTTTAGTTCGCCTCCCAATGTAAAACAAAACGAGATTATAATTGATGAGTCTTTGTTAAACTTACTGCTGAATGAAGAGTTTCATAAATACAGCAATGCCAGGGTAGTGCTAATTCTGTGGCATGCACATCCTGTTACATGTGGGAACCCCAGGATTCTTCTCATGTGTTGTGTATGTGTAACGAGGGCTGTTAGCGGCAGCAGATCAGTCTCCAGGTTTTGGCGCTAGAGGTCCAGCTGGTGCCACAACCTCTCTCAACATTAATGTAGGAGGCATGGTAGCTCAGTGTTTAGCACTGCTGCTCCATAGCACCAGGGACCCGGGTTCGACTCCAGCTTTCTACAACTGTCTGTGTGCAGCTTGCTTGGTCTCCCCATGTCTACATGGGTTTTGTCTGGGTGCTCTGGTTTCCTTCCACAGTTCAAATTGTCCATCATGTGTAGGCTAGGTGGGTTAGCCATGGGAAATGCAGGGATAGGGTAGGGCAGATTCTGGGTGGTATGCTCTTTGGACGGTGAGTGTGGGCTCGATGGCCCAAATGGCCTGCTCCCACACTGTAGGGATTCCATGATCTGCAAGGTTGAGGCCTTCATTGATCACATATTTATAAAGTTGGTCATGCTGTATTTTAAGGATACAAAGACAAAGAGGAAACGAGTGATCATCAGAAATTTAAGAAGGAACGGAAAGGTAATGCAGAAGTCATGGAATGTGGGCATTGCTAGCAAGGCCAGGCTTTGTTACCCATCTCTGTTTCCTTATTTCCTCATGTCCTCTGAGGACAGCTAAAGGTCAACCACACTGATGTGCTTGTAGTGTCAGAAGTCATCCAGACTGGAGAAGGATGGCAGACTTCTTTCACTAAAGGTCATGAGTGAACCATTTTTTTTGTACAATAATTGAGAAGAGTTTCATGGTCACATGTCTAGCTGAGAAGACTTCCTTGAGTGTATCTCACTCTCAATTCAGTCCTCATTTCTGAATACTGGGAGAGTGATGGTTCCTTGGGGAACACAGCCAGAACAAAGTTCAAAGCACTAAGGCTGGCACAGCTGTACAGAGTATCATGAGGAAGATTGGAGAAGCAATAGTGATGGGGAATTCAATCATTAAGGAAACAGTCAGGCATCTCTGGAGCTACTGAAGTGGGTGGGAATGCAGAACAGTTCAGGCATGCGCCTCATTCAGACAATATCTGGGAAGCAGGTGTCAGAGCTGCAGGTGGCTTACAGCCAGGGTATTGTTTTAGTCGGGACCCTGGTGTGAGGCTCCAGAGATGGAGTGAATGCCATTGGCCTCATTCACTGAGGTTTTACAACACCAGTGAAGGTGACCATTAGACAGGGTGGACACAGGCAATGGGGAAACATCAACCAGAAGCGCTCCAGAATGCCAGATTTGTGGAGGAGGGGGTGACTGGAGGAGTAGGACTCAGAGAAGCACACAACCAGCTTCTCATGTGAAGAGGTAGTTACTCACCTGAGATGATAGCCAGAGTGTGACTCAGTGACCTGCACTGTTGAAGCAGCAGTGGGTCCTGCCTCGTCTATTGTGGTGCCATTGAGCTGTCTGCCATGTTGAAGGATTAGCTGAGCTCCATAGGACCTTGTGGTTTCAGTTCCAGTGGTGACACACTTGTCACTGTGTCAGAGAACGTTTACACTTCGGGAGTATTCTAGTGATCCATCAACAATATTTGTGGACATCATAGACTGTGACTTATCGCTGAATAAAGATGATCACCAGACCATGTTGAGGAGGGCAAACCAACGTGTGCTCTTTCACACCCATCTACCCAGCCAGACTAAGAGGGCTGTAGAATATAGGACCATTAATGGATTCCCTCAGGTGTACGGAGTGATTGACTGAATGATCATGGACACCAAGGTTCCTACAAACCAGCCTTCACCAACATGAAGGATTTCCAGCAATTCAACGTACAACTGGTTGGCAATTTCCACAAGCACTTCCCACAGGAATGTGCATGATTCCTGAGAAACAGATAGAACATTGACAGGCTAAGGTGCCAGACCTATTTAAATCCCCCCATGCCGCTAGTCATTGAGGATGTGTTTGTGAGCATCCTTGTACGGTTGTTCTTGGGTTTTCTGGTGTTCACTGTGTTAGGTCCCGCCTCCTATCGTTCAGCAATGTACAAACATTTTCCAGCTATCTATCACTTTAATGGAGACTCAAATTTATATCATACACCTTTGCATCAATATCCCTCAAGGATCTATACTTGGTCCCTCCTATTTCTCACCTTTGACCCTCTCCAAATCTCATCCTGTAGTTGCAGCGTGCATGATTCACCCTAGCAGCTGTCTAAGACTAAACCAGACAGTTCACAAATTTGGTGTGTTATTTGTCTCTGAACTGAGCTTCCAAACACATACCTGCTGACTTCAAACACAGCAACTTCATCTCCTTCCCAGCCTATCTGCTGCTAAAATCTCATTCTTGACTTGGTTATCTTGAGGCTTGACTACTCCAGGTCAATTTTTGCTGGCTTCCTCATTCCACCCTCCATCAGCTTGGATCATTCTATAGTAGACGCACCAACAATACTGTCAGGAAGGGAGTTCTGGGATTTGACCCAGTGACAGTAAAGGAATGGTGATAAGCTTCCAATTCAGGATGGTGAGTAACATGGAAGGAAGTTTGCAGGTGGTGGAATTCTGTTGCAAAATGCTGCCTTTGCCTCTCTTTGTGGTGGAGATCCTGGGTTTGAAAGATGCTGCTGATAGAGCTTCAGTGAGTTGCTGCAGTGTATCTAGTACACATTGCTGCTGTACATTGCTGGTGAAGGGAGAGAATGTTAAAGTTGTTAGATGAGGTGCCAATGAAGCAGAATAATTTGTTTAGATCTTGTTATTGCAGTGCGTTCATCTTAGCAAACAGACACTATTCCATCACAGTCCTAAACTGTACCTTGTACACAGTAGAGAGATGTCAAGCACCCTCAATGCAAAATTCCTAACTCTGACCTGCTGTTATATCTACATTATTTATATGGCTGGTCCAGTTCAATTCTTGATCAATGCTAACTGCCAGGCGTGGATAATGGGAAATTCACTGAAAGTGAATATATTGAATATATAGTGAATATGTGTATATATTGTGAATATCAAGGGACAATGGTTAGATTTTCTCTGGAGACAGAGTTGGCTTGGCATTTCTGTGGTGAGAATATTATCACTAATCAGCGCAAGACGGAATATTGCCTGGATCTTGTTGTGTGCAGTGATGTCTATAACATCTGAGGAGTTGTGAATAGTGCTGAACATTGTTCAATCATCAGTGAACATCCCCACTTCTGACCTTAGGATGGAGAGAAGGTCATTGAAGAAGCAGCTGAAGATGGTTGGGCCTCGGACACTATCCTGAGGAACTCCTGCACCGATGTCCTCAAGTTGAGATGACTGACCTCCAACAACCATGACCATCTTCCCATATGTCAGGTATGACTCGAGCCAGCAGATAGTTTTCCACTGATTTTCCAACGTCTCCAGTTTTGCTGGGCCTTTCTGATGCCACACTTGGTTAAATGCAGCCATGATATGAAGAGCAGTCACTTCTAACTTCCCTCTGGTATTCAGCTCTTTTGTTCATATTTGGAGCAAAGTTTTAATGAGTGGAGAAGCTATGGTGGAATCCAATGAGCATGTAATTGTTGACCAAGAGCTGCTTGACAGCACTGCTAACAACTCCTTCCATTACTATGCTGGTGATTGTGAGTAGATTGATAGGGTGGGTAAGTAGCTGGTTGGATTTGTACTGTCTTTTGTGGACGGTACGCACCTGGAAATGCTTCTGGATTGTCGGGCAAATGCTAATATTATGTCTGTGCTGGAATAGCTTAGTTAAGAGTACAGCTAACTCTGGAGTAGGAGTCTTCTGCATTATTGCTACAATGTAGTCAAAGGTCCATGGGCTTTAGTATTCAGTGCCCTCAGCTGTTTCTTGAACAACATGGACTCAAGGTCACACACCCAGCCCATGGACTGGACTAGGCTGCTTCTCTGGTCTGTACGCTTGTTTTCCGAGTGCCGTTGAGATCTTCTCACTGCATCTTGTACATTTTTTTCATGTGGCATTGTGTGATTCTTGCTAGGCTGTGGGGAGTTCCCAGTTAAGGATCATTATTACTTGTTAAACACCTTGTTAACAGCATAACTCGCCATGATTTAAAATATTACCAAACTCACTGCACCAATCAACCTCAGAAACACTCAAGTGTGGAAACTAGAGCGTGTACCTGGTAGAATCAGATCACCACTTGCCCTGAAAGACCTCCGTGTTGGATACCAGGCACCGTCATGTCAGGGTATACTCCATGGCCATCAGTCACACTCACACTCCTCATTCACAGACATTGGCAACTTGTATGTGCCAGCCTCTAAGAATCCTCACAGCACATCTCTGAACCACATATAGTGCATTTCTATACTTCAGTGCTATACCTCGGGCTGTGCCGGTAACTCTCATTGTAATGCTGGAGCAAGGACACTGTGTGGTCAGGGACACACGCCCAGCTCATAGACTGGACCAGGCTGCATCTTATGCTCTGCACTCAAGTGTTATTGAACTCATTGGGCTCAGACCACAGCTGGGTGATCTTAGCATCTCTGCTTGCATTGCTGTGACTTCCCCTTTTGGGTTCTGCTCTCTCTGCCAGGGATACCAGGTTCATGTAACTGCTACCTTTCAATGTTGTTTAGCTCAGACACAAAGGAAGGAAGCTGAAGATGGTTCTCAGTCAAGTCAAGAGGGATCGACTTTACTCAGGCAGTCCTGGCACAGTCACTCAAGGGCAGTCTCTGACACCAGTCACAGGCCTGCTCGGGACAGTCACAGTCAATATCCTTTCCTCAGAATGGGTGAGAAGCCGAATGATGGGCAACACCATGTCCATTGAGTCTTTCTGTCATATGGTGGTCTTTTTCATACATGGTTTGGGAGAAATGACAGAATTATGGAAGACAAAAGTAGATGGTACAGCTATTGCTGTTGGTGCTAATGTGAGGTGTCCTGAATGAGTGAGCAGGCAGTGCAGAGGGCGTTTTGGGTTAGAGGTGACAGGGACTGGGATAGGTGAGAGCGAGTGATGGAAGATGTTTCAGGCAATGGTGACAGTAATAGAGAAAGAGCCATGTTGGGGGGTGGGTGCAGAGATAGACTAAGTGTGAGGTATCGGAAACAAGATGATGGCACTTTGCAGATGGAGAACCAAATGTCAATGACCTTCTTCCTAAAGCGCTGGCTATTCCTGTAGACTCATTAACCCGGGTGGCACCATCAGACCAGGCCGACACTATCTGGTGTTGTGGTCTCCTCTACTGGTTCTGGGGGAAGAGAAAATCCCACCTGTTCACCCACCCCCATCCAGCAGGGCCTCCAACTTCCTGCTCATAAAGCATGGCACCAAGATTGCCCTTTCTGCTGTGATGGAGGCAAGTGTCACAAAATGGGAGCAGGGCAGCTCGGGACTGAGAGTGCTTATGCACAACATGACTTTAAAGATTGCACTGGTGCCACAGGTGCCAATCAATTCTGCAACTTCCAGGGAGTGGAACAGAAGATCCCAGCAGAGATGATTACTTCCACCGCTGAGGTATACATGATAGTGCCAAAAGTGATTCCATAGAGGTGTGTCATGTATATTAATGAAGTGAACAGCAGAGAATTGCAGGAGATCTCACAAGAACTCACAGAGGGACACCTTCCTTGGAAATCCCTGAAGTTGACAGAGAGTCAATTTTGGGCAGATTTCAATCCAACTTCTTTTATGTGACTTGGCGTAATGGTATTTTTTTTATTGCCTCTGTCCAGTGCCTTTGAATACTTTACAACATAAAAAGTGCTATATCAATACAATTTGATGTCATTTTACTCAGCCCAGGCATGCTACTTTTCGAAATGTTCTCGTAATGAAAACATTGCATGTTGCTTTTAAAGGTTTTTCACTTGTGTTCTACTCCATTGTAATATCACAAGCTCCATCGTTTAAATTCTTTTATTTAACTATTGACCTTCTGACTTGAGAACAAACTCTAATGGGCATTGGAATTGGCCTAAAACAGGCTTCCCTCTTCAAATTGCCAACATCGACTTGCCCAATAATACCTGCTGGACTACCAAGCTGGTGTGGACCTTGGCCTGCCATAGAAAAGATCATCCTGTGAAGCTTATCATCTATTGAATCTTTACCATGACTATATATGGAAACACCTCAGACTACAGAACTATGACATACCTGTGTTACAAATACAAGGCCAAGAAAATAAAATAGTGGGCAAATGGCAGTTATCAGGTAAAGGCGCCATGATTGTCGAAAACGAGGGAACTGGTCCAGCAGCATTGTGAATATCGTTTCTGATGAAAGAGGACATTAAGTGACATCAGTAATTAGGGAATAACATACCCGATCCCAGAGAAATTACCCTGCCTCTGACCCCAGCGAGACTGAAGCCCCGCAGTCAACAGGAGCTAGCGATGACAAATTGGACAGGCTGTATTGAGTTAAAATAACAGAATCTCCATCACCTTCTAACTATCCCACTCCCAGTGAGTCAGGGAAATAATAGTCCCCTTCCTCTGACAGCAGCAATGTCTGGCATAAGCAAACGTGAGGGGGCGGAATCTGGAAGGGAACAGGACCTTAATATTGAGATGCAAAACCACTGCAAGACACATTAAACAAACATTGAATTCTGCAATCTCCCAGATATTGCAGTAACATTTCCCTGGGTGTTACATTAATGCAGCTGTTAACTCATTGACATCAAATAAATCAATGCTGCATAAAGACAGTGAGCAAAGAGTGGCCACAAAGAAATATAATGCATTTTCTCACTAACATTGTCCCAATATTTTCTCAACATATTATTGCAAAGAGATGACCATTTAGAATAATTTCCTTTGAGATCAGTACAAAGTGTTGTATGAGGCAATTAATACAAGAAGTGTTAACTGGCATTACAAGATAATCCCAATCATCAGATTATAAAAGTCTGCTCCTTGGAATAACCAACTTGCATTTAAATGATCGTTCTGAATGTTGAAAGCATATAGCTTAAATGGTAAAGTCAACGTATTCTTAAATAGAAACTGTTGTCTTACAAAAGAATGTTACATATCGTAGATGTAATGTAACCAGCTATTCCGTAATTAATAATAAATGCATTCTGTTTATCTAAAGTTGAGCCGACATTCTGCCTAAGGTGTTATGTGGGTGTCCTTCCCACATGGGATCAGTGGCCCAGACTAATACTAATGAGAGCACAGCTACCCATGACACTCAGAACTGTCCATCGCATCAGGGATTTCTCTTAGAGTTGACAGTATAGAGCTAAACTGGCATCTTTTCCCTATTGTGGGGGATTTCAAGACTGGGGGCATTTTTTAAGGTGAGCGGAGAAAGATTTTAAAAAGACACAAGGGGCAATTTTTGTTTTTTTAAACAGAGAGTGGTTCATGTGTGGAATGAACTTCCAGAGGAAATGGTGGATGAGAGTACATTTAAAGGACATTAGGTAAGTACATGAATACGAAATGTTTGGAGGGATATGGGCCAAGCACAGGCAGGTGGGACGAGTTTAGTTTGGGAATATGGTTGGCTTGGACTGGTTGGAGCGAAGGGTCTGTTTCCGTGCTGTATGACTCCATGGCTCTATGATGATGTAAATTTACTCTTATGGAGGACCTGATGCCTCACAAAAGATCACTCCATAACCCAAATGTCATATAAATGGCTAACAAACCATAAAAGTTTTCTGCTTAACTAAGACCAAGTGTATGTTCTGCCTCAGGCACTGTGTAGGCATCAGTATCAATAGCCTAGACTGGGATTCGTAGTAAGTATTGGAGGCAGTGAATCTATTCAAGATATCACAGATGATTCAGGTAGATGACCATAATAATGTAAAAGAAAGAAATGAGTTTAATCAAGCAATATCATTCTTACCGACATCTGCAAGTACAGTGTCAATTTCCAGGGTGATTAGCATGAAGAAAAATAAAATGGACCACAAAGGTGCCCATGGCAATTGTGCAAGGGCTTCTGGGTAGGCAATAAAAGTCAAGCCAAAACCTGAAAAATGGATACAATACAGTTAATGGTGTTCAGAAAGCAAGAATATACACATTAAGAGGAGTAAATCATTCAGCTCCTCAGCCCTGTTCCAACATTCAATAAGATTCTGTCTGATTAGATTGTAGCCCCAACTTCACTTTCCTGTTTGCCCCCACAGTTACCCTTGACTATTCTATCGATCAAACAATTGAGCTAGCTCAGCCTTGAACATATTCAAATACCAAGCCTTCTCTATCTCTCGCAGAGAGAATTCCACCGACGGGAAAAATATTGCTCCTCATCTCAGTTTTAAATGGGACATCCCTAATTTTTATATAGCCTCCCCTGGAACTAGCCTGTTCCTCAAAAGAAAACCTCTTCCCAGCCTGACAAGTCCTCTCAGCATCTTATACAACTCAATAAGCTCAACTCTCATTCTCCTAAATCCCACTGTTTATAAGGCCCAACCTGTTCAACATCTCCTCATAAAATAATTCCTACATCCAAGGAATCGATCAACTGAACCGTCTCTGAATGCCACTACTGCAATTGTGGATATTTTATAAGAAATCTGTTCAGCGATGTCTCTGGAGATGTTGGGATTTGTACGCAGATCTCCTGGCTCACTCGCAGGGATGCTGACACTGGATCACAAGACATATTTTCATATAATTATATCCTTTCTTAAATGAGGTGATAAACACTGACACAATGTGCTAGATTTCAGGCCAAGTGCTATTTTTGGGAGTTGTATGACAGGTATCCAGTTATGGTTCACAGTGACTTTTCTCACACTATCTTCCACTTCTCACCACATCAGTTATGTAATTAGTTTATTTGGCATGCTTTCCATGTAATCAAGTAGCAGAAGTGGTGAAATTCCCACTGTTGCCAGGACCTTCCATCATATAAACCATTGGCACCACAGTTAATGCCCAGCTGCTCATCACATCAGATCATATGAGCCAGGAGCTACCTCTCACACAGTCATCTTAGGAAACCAGTATCACTTAGAAAGAATAAGTGGCATCCAATTTCCAGACAGGAACCTGGAAGTCTGGGTGGACAGGATGGTGAAGAGGAGGGCTAATGTCAACATGGTAGATCACCACAGAAGGCCAGATCACCATACAGCCAGACTGGACCCAGACAGACACAGACAGACAGGAAAACTTTGGTGTTAAGGGTATAGAGAAAAACCGAGTAGGCCATTCAATGATCACTGTTCACAATCTTCATCAAGATGATCCATTTGTGTGTCAGGACTCACTGTTCTTTACTGTTTTCATTTCCTTGCAGAAGGCATACAGCAACTGGTTCACAAATTATAAAGGTCTCTGACTTACTGATTAAAAGCAACAGCTTCCACCAACTGCTGAGAGATGATAAATAAGTTCCTTCAGGTTCCAGGTATTTTCTACTGCTGAGAGACATATCACCTCTGCTTTCAAGGTCCAAAGGCTTCTGGCAATATTATTTACATCAACAAGCTGTTCAGCAGCAAACCACATAGGTGTTGTCAGGCAGATGGATGATCACATCTACACAAACCAATTAATTACAAGTAGTCTCTGACTTCTTGGTTAAAAGCAACAGCTTGCGAGAATCTTGTAGACAAATCTCACTTTCTATACACTCCTGATGCCAGCCCATCCACAATCAACTTCCTCCACTGTTGACCAAAGCAGCAATGTAAACATCACATACAATGAGTTTCAGTAATATGCTTTTAAAAAGTGCAGCAATGCCTTCTACCATCCTTAGTTTTAAAACAGACCTATTTTGTCATTTATATAAATGATTTGAATGTGAACATAGCAGATATAGCTAATAAGTTTACAGCTGACACCAAAATTGGAGGTGTAGTGGACAGCGAAGAAGGTTACTTCAGAGTACAATGGGATCTCGATCAGATGGGCCGAGGAGTGGCAAATGGAGTTTAATTTAGTTAAATGTGAGGTGCTGCATTTTGGAAAGGCAAATCAGCGTAGGACTTATACACTTAATGGTAAGGACCTGGGGAGTGTTGCTGAACAGAGACCTTGAAGTGCAGTTCTTGGCTCCTTGAAAGTGGAGTCCCAGGTAAACAGGATAGTGAATAAGGCATTTGGTATGCTTGCCTTTATTGGTCAGTGCATTGAGTATAGACATTAGGAGGTCACGTTGCAGCTGTACAGGACTTCAGTTAGGCCACTTTTGGGATATTGTGTTCAATTCTGGTCTCCCTACTATAGGAAGGCTGTTGTGAAACTTGAAAAGGTTCAGAAAAGATTTACAAGGATGTAACCAGGATTGAAGGGTTTGAATTTTAGGGACAGGCTGAATAGTCTGCGGCTATTTTCCCTAGAGCGTCAGAGGCTGAGGGGTGACCTTATGGAAGTTTATAAAATCATGAGGGGCAAGGATAGGGTAAATAGACAAGGACTTTTCTCCGGGGTGGGGGAGCCCAAAACTAGAGGGCATAAGTTTAAGGTGAGAGGGGAAAGATTTAAAAGGGACCCAAGGGGCAACATTTTCATCCAGAGGGTGGTGTATGTACAGAATGAGCTGCCAGAGTAAGTGATGGAGACTGGTACAATTGCAATATTTAAAAGGCATCTGGATTTGTATATGAATAGGGAGGGTTTAGAGAGATATGGACCAGATGCTGGCAAATGAGACTAGATTAATTTAGAGACAGTAGATTAATTTATGATATCTGGGCGGCATGGATGAGTTGGACCTAATTGTTTCCGTGCTGTATATCTCTATGACTCGATGACTCTATTTCAATTTCAATCCACAATCAAAAATGCAAAAGTATTTTTTTTTTAAATGGTCTTTATAACCTCGTCAGATCTTCTTTGAACTGTATCACAGTCATTTCCATCTCAGATTTTTCTCAGCTAAAATCAATTATTGATAATTCTCAATCTAAACAGAAATCAACACAAATCTGTTTTTTCTCTCTTGTCATAACACCCTAGAATATAAACAAACTATCATTCAGTCTCCTTCAGGATGCCTTCAGTCTTTTGCTGTCTAACACATACTTGTTTAAAATCATGGTTCCAAAAAGACTGACTTAGTTAATTATTCAATGTCTTCAAATAAATAACCCAATACCCAAATGAAATTACAGACATTTTATCACATGATCCAAAGAACTTTCAAGGGCATGTTGGTGAAGGGTCATTGAAGTGGAGACCCAAACAAGTGGCAAGCTGCATCTGCCAGCAGACTGCTCTGTCTTTCAAGTCAGAAACTATCCCCATCCAGTTTCGCAGGAGAGAAAGGAGAAATTATCAGTTGCGTATTAATGAGGTGAGGTGGACACATGATTCTGATTTTACATTCCAATACTAAAAGAGAAAAGTCAGAATTTTTTTCTGAATGTCAAGAGTTAGTTTTAAAAAAAATAATTGTGGCCACAATATCCTGCATTTATCATCATTAGCCGCATCACTCATGTCATGTGTAAATTTGGACTAATATTCCAGGTTCATTCTCACTAAGGGCCGATATAACTATTGCGTCACATCCCTAGTTTCATACTCAATAAAGGGAGCATTCAACCTGCCTTCCTAATCACCTGCCATACCTGCATGCTAAGCCTTTGTGATTCATGTACCAGGTCACTTTGATCCCATACTGTAGAGTACTGCATGTTATGTAATAGAAGATAACCATATTTAAACAGACTCTGAGTCAAATTTTTTGGTGACAGTCTTATTTCAGTTAACTACACTCCATAAAGACCAATAACGAGCTGTCCATAATTATACAAGCTATTCAAATCCAATTAACTCTCTATTACTGTAATATAACTATAATTGATATATCCATCATCTGTTCATTTATTACATTTCACATACTTATTCAGCCTATATTAGATGATAATACTGAAGTCCATTTGCATTTGAATAATCAACTATTATTTTTGCCAAAGTGGACAAATTCTCATTTTCTTACACTGCATCATCTGTCAATGCTTTGCCTACACACGTAATATATCTAAGTCCCTTGCAGACTCAATGTGTCCTTTTGGTAACATAGTTTTGTACCTATCTTGTGTCATCTGCAAATTTAATTACCCTTCATTTGATTCCCTCATCCAACTAATAGCTACAGACGCTGAATAGTTGAGGCCCCAGCACAGATCTCTGTGGGACTTCACCAGTTTCAGCTTTCCAACCTGAAAACACCTACTGTCTAGTTCCTGTTTCCAAGTCAAACCTGTCTCCAGCTCGTATGTTGTTCCCTATACTGATGTCTCTTATTTTGTATAGAAAAGTTCAGAGGCAACATTCAAGAAACGGATGCTATTTACTTCAAATTAATTAAAACTTATTTAAATATTTTTAGAATTCTGATTATCAATATTTGTCAAAATTGTTTTTTGATCATTACCAGAATATTATGATGATGAAGTATGTGCTTATAGTATAAACCATTGCCTCTTTCATAAATATGCATTGTAAATAATCATGGCCCCAAAACTGATCTCTGTAGCCCCTTTATCAAACTGTCTGTCTTCTCTTTGTTATCCAATACTGTATCCAAGCTAACATGTTACATCAATAACCATGGGCTTTTTTATGTTATAAATGAGCCTGACATGTCATCTAATATCTCCTTAAAATCCTCTTTCCCACTATCTATCCTGTTTGTTACCTCCTGAAAGAACGTGGGTAATATTGTCAGTCAAGGTTTCTCTTTCAAGAAGCCAAGCTGACTCTGCTCAATCATGTCATGAATTTCTAAACACTCTGATATTATATCCTTTATAATAGTCTAAAATTTTCCCAACAACAGACGTTAAGCTAATTGGCCTACATTTGACTCCTTCCATTTTAAGATAGACACATTAAATGGGCAATTTTGCAATCATCTGGGAATTCTCCAGAATCTAAGGATTCATGGAAGAATACTGCAGTGCATCAATGGTCTCAGATGGTTGTATCTGTATACTGGTACAATTATGATCTCACATTGCCTTATTTCAGGTGATAGCTGAAGCTGTGATACCCGATTTGATATTTATATAAATTTCAATTTACCCGACACAGCAATCTCTGAAACAGGCTTGTCTTGTACGTGGGCCATGTGTCCAAGAATGGAGAAGATGACAAACCCAGAAAATACACTTGTTGCACAACTAACAACACAGACAACGATGGTATCTCTGTAACAGTTGTTGTGGAAGTTACTGTAGGATGACAGTGTTATTAAACTGCCCCAACCTATTGCAAGAGAAAAGAAAATTTGTGTTGCAGCATCTTTCCAGACCTAGGGTAAATAAAACGTAGAAATGGTTAGTAGTGGGATAAACCTGTTTAATAGATAAAATAACATTAACCATGAAATCTATAGGGGTTACTGTAGTTATACTCAGGTATACTCATTGAATAAAGCTAACTCTGGTCATACATTAAACAATAGGGTCAATATTTTCCCACCCTGTTGAATATTTATTGCCAGATTCCTTCCAGGAGGTTTGGTCTTGTCTCCCACTAGCCACGTTTCCTAGTGAGTTACATCTTTCTTCAAAATCACGAGGGGGCTGGATAGGGTAAATAGGGAGAAACTGTTCCCACTCATTAAAAGAGCCAGAAGGCACAGACATAAAACAATTTTCAAAACCAAAAGTGAGTTGAGAAAAATCTTTCTCACTAGCGAGTAATAAGGCTATGGAATGCACTGCCTGGTGGTGTGGTGAAGGCAGGTTCATTTGAGGCATTCAACAGGGAACTTGATGATTAGTTAGTCAGAAATAATGTGCAATGGTTTGAGAAAAAATAGCAGGAAATTGGCCCTAGGAGGTGATGCTCATTTGAAGAGCTGGTTAGACATATTGGGCCAAATGTCATCTTTCTGCAACCCTTCTGTAGTTCTATGAAGTTTGTTTGCAGCATCAACACTGTCGACCAGTGAATGACATTCTTAGATTGACCTCAGTAATAAAGAAAAAGAACCTTTCAAAATAAAGGAACAATTCTTATCTCAATTGTAACAAATCTCAGCTATCTATTAGATCTCAATATCATGTAAAACCAGAGTGTAGTCTATGTTCCTAGGAAATGATTTGGGTTGTGCAACATATTATAAATGATATAAGTAGGAGTTGAAATAATTTCTAATATTTCAGAAAGAAGAAAAAAGTTCATTGAAGCCCAGTCAATCTCGCTCACCCAGTTTTGTCTTTTCTCTTCCCATCATGACCATTGCCTTCCCTTCTCATCTGATAATCTCAAGATAATAAAAGTCATACATTGACAAATTAAAATCGATCACAAGCTTTCTATTAAAGCTTGGTAATACCTAACATTAGTTCTCCCCACATTTAAACTGGATCCCTAAACAACATTCACATGTTAAAATCACAAGAGGCACAAAAATTAAAACAATGTATTAAAACATATGAACTACAATTAAATTCAATCAATTATACTGCTGTAGTTACCTCAATGTCAGCCAGTTTGGAGAAGTCTGACTGGCTTCCAATATAGAATTCAATCCCTTTGTAGGCTCCCTCCAGAGTAACCCCTCAGATCAGGAGTATGGTCGGAACCATATATGGGAATGTAGCAGTGAAATAAACCACCTGACCATGGCGAGTAACAGGTTAGATTTTCCTGTATTATGAACATGCCATTTACTGTATTTGATTCAATTCAATGGAAAAATAAAACAATTGTAAGCATTGCAGAGAATGCAGCAGAAAGCAACTGGATGAGTAATAATGACATGGACAGTATATAGTGCAACTCCAGCATAATGCGGCTCCTATGATAATAATCCTTTCAAAAGCGTAAAGTAAGCAACATTAAAATTAAACTAAATTAAACTGAAAGCATTATATTCAATTGAATTAAATTGCATATATTCTGATTACAGACATATGCATATGCATGTATGATCAATCATTATTGATTAGCTAGACCCATATTGAAGAAAATAAACATTTTTGACTGCTTTCACTTCCTAAGTCACAAGTGTAGCAGTTGGGTTTTCATTGGTTTCTAACATCACAGTGATTTTTCTGGGGAGTGCTAAAGTATCCATAGTCCCCAGGAACAATGGAGCTTCTGTCTCGTTAGAGAAAGACGCTGGTGATGATTTAACCCATCGGTCACCATGTCTCTGACTGAGGTCCAGAAGGTGCGTCCTTCATAGTGACCTTGGCCCATGTGGGAATTGAACACATGACATTAGAGTCACTCTGCATGGCAATCCTGTCATCTAGTTTTCTGAGTCATGTATAATTGTTTTGGATGACGATAATAACTCAGTCTTAATTTAGTGTTATTATCATCTTCTTCAGCTTACTGCCTGTTTTTAGGTTTGACTGTTGCACTGGTCAACGTTTGATTATTTGTCATTATCATATTAGTAAGTTCTTGTGCGTCAATAATCAGACATACAATGATGCCTTCAGCACCTAATTTGGCTAAGTATGGATCTAACATTGGTTAGCTCATAGGCATTGAATCCATTGTAGGTCACAGCACTCTTCCACTTTCATATATTTCTTTCAGTCATATCATCATGCTCGAAAGCATCAACTAACATGTGTCTCCAAGGGCTTTCGGATATAGGTAGTTCACACCGATGGAGTCTGTTCTGCAGTTAGGTTTGAAGCTCAAAATGATGTCTTGATCAAGATGTTGAGATTTCATTGTTGTGTTTCCTGGTAGATTAAATAGTCATATGCTTTCTTACAAGAAACTAGGGAACAGAATATTTCAGACTTTCTAATGAGCAATGAAACAGCATCATTTAATGACCTAATTGTAAAAGACCATCTAGGCAACAGTGATCATAATGTGACAGAATATTGCATTAAGTTTGAAGGTGAGAACTGAGTCCAAGATTAGTATTTTAAACTTAAAAGAGCATGTACATATACATGAAGACAGAGTTGGCAAAAGTGAGCTGTGAAAATAAGCTAAAGGTAAAGGGACAGTGGCAGACATTTAAGAAGATACTTCATAACTTTCAAAAGGGACGTATTCAGTTGAAAATGAATGACTATGAGCAGGACGCTCTGTTGATGGCTAAATTAGGAGTTTAAGGATGGTATCAAGTTGAAAGAAAGTTCGTACAATACTATATAGAGTTGTGGTAAGTCAAATAGGGTAATAGAGTCATCGAGATGTACAGCTCAGAAACAGACCTTTTGGTCCAACTCGTCCATGCTGACCAGATGTCCTAAATTAACCTAGTCCCATTGGCCAGCATTGGATCCATATCCCTCTAACCCTTCCTATTCATATACTCATCCAGATGCCTTGCAAATGTTGCAATTGTACCAGCCCCCACACTTCCTTGCAGCTCATTCCACACACACACACACACACACCCTTCTGCATGAAAATGTTGCCCTTAGGTCTGTTTTAAAGCTTCCCCCCCCTCTCACCTTAAACCTATGCCCTCTAGTTTTGGACTCTGCTACCCTGGGGAAAAGACCTTGACTATTCACCTTATCCATGTCCCTCGTGATTTTATAAACTTCTATAACATCATCCCTCAGCCTCTGACTCTTCAGGGAAATGTACAGGTTTCAGAAACCGGCAAACTATGATGTTAAAAAGAAGAGATGGATAAATTAGAACACTGGTAGGATGCAATTATTATTTAAATGGACAATCTCATGCCAACTTCACACTGTGTGACATTTTTTAATTTCGTTCTCAAGATAAAGGCAAGTATGAGAATGCTAACTATAAATATAAAATTGAGTGTAAGAGTTTCTAAATGTATTCAAAATTGCACAGAGGAACTGAAGCGAGCAATAGTCCTTTAGACAGTGAATCAAGGAAATTCGTAAAGTAAAATACTGGAAATGGTGACAGTCTTGAACAATTTGCTTAAAAGTCAAGATCTAAAAGGGACTGAGGAACAAAAAATAGTTCCTAGAGAAAAGGTACAGACAAAAATTATTAGACCTGATGACCTGCACGCTAAGATCTTAAAAGAAGTGGGTACAGGGCTATCAGATGCATTGGTTGTGATCTTTCAAAATTCCCTCGATTCTGGGTCTGGGTGAATTATTGCTGTTCTTTCCCTTAGGTGAAAGATCTGGGCAGCACGGTGGCTCAGCAGTTAGCACTGCTGCCTCACAGCGCCAGCAACCCGGGTTCGATTCCAACCTCGGGTGACTGTCTGTGTGGAGTTTGCACATTCTCCCCGTGACTGTGTGGGTTTCCTCCGGGTGTTCCAATTTCCTCCCACAGTCTAAAGCTGTGCAGCTTAGGTGGATTGGCCATGCTAAATTGTCCGTAGTGTTCAGGAGTGTGTAGAATACGTGGGTTACGGGGGAAAAGGGGCAGGGATGGGTCTGGGTGGGATGCTCTTCGGAGGGTTGGTGTGGACTTGTTGGGCCGAAGGGCCTTTATTCACACTTTAGGGTTTCTATGACCCTCCTCAGTCCTGAAGTGTTGATGAATTCTGGATCTCCACGCCCAAGGAAGGAGATGAACTCTGAAAGCTTGTATTTTCAAATAAACCTGTTGGACTATAACCTGGTGTCGTGTGATTTTTAACCTTGTCCGCCCCAGTCGAACACCAGCATCTCCATATCATTCCCAAAGAAACACTGTTAACATCACCTGGAAGATAAGCCAGCCACTTCACAAATGATTCATAAATTCTAATTTCATTGTTACAGAAATCTGCACTTTGTCAGTCATTTTAATTCTATTCCTCACCAGTCACTTACCTTTCCTGAAGATTTGATTCCTTTAGACAACGCTCCTCCAGCTATCAGCCAGGACAGAAGCAGACAGAGAGCTAAATACCAGACTATGTCCCCAGTCTCATCCATTGAACTGGAACGACGTAAAACCATTTTACTGAAGGAAATGGCAACAAAAGAATATGTTATATAAAGGCACACTTCATGACACACGTCTGATATCAGATAAAACGCATCAAAATATTTAATCAAAAATACATGGATTTGACGAGGATCCACCTTAAATTTTAGATTTTTGAAGATAATTAATAACAAATAGTTAACTCATATTTAATATCCTTTATGATATTTCTCAATGCTATTAAATGTGTGCTTTCTTTAAACAGTGAGTGCTGATGGGTTTCCCTGGAAAACTGGTTGCATTTGAAGGAGTTCCTGCCAGTGTTTCACTGACTGCCTTTCATTGTGTTGGTTTAGTCTCTGTCTCACAGTGATGTCAACTCCTTCATATTGTTAGACATGGTATCTCCTTCCAGACAGCTTCACTAAATTCAGTTCCCAGGTCTATGTGTTACACATAATGATATATTCAAGTAAAAACAGAGCCAAAGAGACCTCAGTCGCAAATAATTTAAATTATTTAACATTTAAGAATTCTAGTGGTGAGTCTTTTTTGATGCAGAACAAGAAAACAAAAAGAACAAGAAATATCCATTGTGTAAATATTATTAAAGCGAAACTGCTGTGTTAGAAATTAGGGAGCCGTTACGTAATGAAGGGGTGTCTGTTGTGAAATGTTTGTAACAGGCGTTTGAAATAATTAGTGTGTCTAACAAAATGAAACAGCTTCTCCCTCATTATCAGGACATTCACCAAATAACCTTCCCAAGAGGAGTTACTGGCCCAGTTGTGCAGTTTATAGGTGCAGCTCTCAGTAGCAAATGTACTTACTCCCAGTATTGCTCACTCGGACCCTGGAAAGGAACAGAAATTTCTGATCCATTTGGGCAAGTTTCATTGTTTGCCTGCAGCCATGTTGTATTAACAATTTCAAAATATCTGCCATCCAGAGTGAGATTGCAAAGTGGATCTGGAAAATATGAAACGTATTGTAGAATTACAATTCACTGGGAACAACACTGTCATTTCTAGTGATATAATCAGGGTCATTGTTTCACATCGTGAGTTGGTTAATTAAAATAGTCATATCAGTTTTGAAATATTAACTCTTCTTCTTTTCCTAAAGATGCTGCTGGACTGCTGAGTTTCTCCAGCACTTTCTGTTTTTATTTTATTGTTGCACTCTGGCTGAATATGCCCAATGTTTTTTACTACAATTCATGGATGTGTCAGAACAGAGCTTCAGTCTGAACATTCCAGTCAGAGCACAGTCCAACTCTGAGGGTGACTCGGTCTAATGGATTTTTTGACAGAATCTGTAATGTCCGTGACCATACATCAAAATTAAGATATTAAAAATTAAATTGCTCCCTAGGTGAAACATAATGTTTGCAGAAATACATAGGGAATGAAAGGGGACATGAGAGACAATTGCTTTTCAAGTTTTAATGGACTTTCATAGGATAATTGAATCCCTACAGCATGGAAACAGGTCACTCAGCCCATCAAACCCATACTGACACTCCGAAGAGCATCCCAACCCAGACCCAGCCCCTTTCCTATTGCTATAACCCTGCATTCCCCATGGCAAACCAACGTATCCCATACATCTTTGGACTTTGATCTCTCATCTGCTCCAAATAAAATTTTGACCAATGTCTCAAGTGATTTATCTGATTGGGGAACATGAACTTTGGCTTTCACATCAACACCTGATATCACATGATCCTATAGCAGGTAAAAATAGTAATTGTTTCTCACATTTACCTTTATATTCCTAGGGAGCGAGTTGAATAATTTAGAATTTAAAATGAACGTGTGAGTCATGATTTGCAAATAGCCTTCTTTTTTGTTCAGGGAGTGGCATTCAGAAGAAGGTTTCCTTGCCTGTATTTGACCTGAGGACATGACACATTTTGAGAAGACTCCATTACCTCCCAACTATATGCTATAATACTTCTGGTCTCATAATAAAACTGAAGAATATTTGCAGGCTCAGCTGAAGGAAAGAACATGTTAATTTTATATAAGGATGGTACTACTATGGCTTGATCTTACCATGAGGCTGTGTAAGAGAAAGTAGAATCATGCAACATTGCAGCACTTCTGATGATGATGATGACATAAACTTTGTCTCATTATTTTTTTTAGTTAGACATGTCGCCTTCTCCTACTTATACCGCCATGTCTCTGATTTTACTTGTATCTCACACCTTTTCTTTGACTTCAATGCTGTTCTTATTGTGACAGCTGTGAAAATGCTCTCAGCTCTACTGGAGGATACGGTGGGGGGTTTGGGGTGTGGGTGGTGGGGGGGGTTGGAACACATTTAATTTCTCAGCTTGAAGTCTCTTGGAGGTATCTGGACAAAAACAGAACTGACAGATGACTGCAGTTCAGCAATCAAAACAAGGATCTGGATCTATTAATGAATGCAGCATCTCTGGTCTGTTTTACTGTGTTTTGGCTATATTGACTTTTTAGAAAGTTGCTACTGTCTGGAAAATAGTCCGTGCTGTGACACGACAAGGATTGTTGGTTTTCGGATAGTGTTTCTGTAACAGCACTTTTCCATAATGACCTTAGACCTGAATCTAAACTGGTTCTCCTGTTTGGAGATCTGGTCGGCTGCATGTTTTGTGGCATTTGTCACATTTCTCACAATTTCCAAGTCCACCTTGTACATGCAGCCTGACTGTACGTGGCTAAGTTGAAATTTCAGTTTCTTCCTTCGAGGAGTTTCCAGACAGCGTTTTGGAGAGGAGTTGAGTAATAACCAGAAGGTCCCATTAATAATGTCAGACAACACGCAACTTTAAAGTTTTTGAGAAGACCCCTAAGTATCAAGGTAGCCCACAAACCAACAACCACCCTTCCACCACTACTGACGAATGTAAAGGATCCCATATCCACAACCAGCAAAACCAGTGTAATATACAAAATACTATGCAAGGACTGTGAGAAACGCTACATAGGCCAAACTGGAAGAAAACTGACCATATGAATACACGAACATCAACCGCCACCAGGAGATGCAACCAATTCTCACTTGTCTCACTGCACACGGACAATGAGGGAAATGAATTTGACTGGGACAACACATCCATAATTGCACAAGCCAAACAGAGACATGCAAGGGAATTCCTGGAAGCCTGGTATTCTGATTGGAACTCCATCAACAAACACATTAAATTAGACTCTGTGTACAAACAACTGAGAAACAGAACTGGAAGTGGTACCAATCACACCAACAAAGTGAGGCATATAAATAACAAGTGGGACAGTGGCTTCAGTGGAGGTGCACTGATGATGTTACCTAGCAGAGTGACGAAACATTTGCAGCCAAACCTACCGGCTTGACAAGAATGTCCACAAAATCAACACACAACTGTCAGCTTTATAGTAATGACTGACCTTAGCACACATATTGCACGTCTGTGTAAAAGAGGTGAGAAACTGCAAAAAAATTCCAGTCTGTATGCAAACTTCAAACACTGCAGTCCCGGTCTGTAGAATAAAGTCAAACATCAAAGTCTATACAATGAACTGACACAACTTCCACTGTCACAGTCTTCATTATAACTTTAGATATTGCACAATTCCAATCTATACAATAAGGTCAGACATCAGCCATAATATAGCAATGGCTTATAACACACACAGTATTTATATTAACATCACTTTGTCACACAATCCCAGCCTATATTAATGTCAGATGTCACCCACATTTTTAAACTTTCACATGATATCAGATTTCATCTACAGTCTGAGACATCATAATAAGGTCAGGCCTCACTTATAGCTCCTATCTGCATAATAAAGTCAGATATGACCCATATTCTTAGTCTGTACGTTAAGATTAGACACCAGCCACATTTCTATCTATAGTCAGATATCATCTGCATTCTTAGTCTGTACATTAAAGGTGAGGTATTACTGACATTCTTAGTCTGTACATCAAAAGGTTAGATATTACCGACATTCTTAGTCTGTACAATAAGATCAGACACCAGCCATATTTCCAGCTTGCACATGAACAAATTTCTCCCACATTTGCAGGTTGTACAAGGTCAGACAACTCACTTAGTCTCAATCTCGTAAACAATGTCACACATCATTCACAGTCCAAGTCTTTATAACAAGGTAAGATATCATCCACAGAGCACTTTATACAATGAAATCAGAGATTGCGTGGTTTGTAAAATAATATCAGAGGTCACCCATTTCATGAGCCCATGAAACTAGATCTTTCAACTTGGTGTAAATTAGAAAATCACGTTGGCAATAACAGCCTGGATGAGGAATTCATAGAATGCTTTTGTGATAGTTTCTTTGAGCAGCAAATTTTGGAATGGAGAGTAGGATATATTCGACTTGGTATGATGTAATGTGGCAGTATTAAGTACTGATTTGCAAGTAAAGGCAGCCCAAAGGAAACAACGGCAATAATTTGTTTAAATTTATATCAGGTTTGAAAGAAAGAAGGTTGGGTCTAAGATTAACGTTCCAAACCAAAATAAGGACAACTATAGGGGCCTTTAAGCTGAGCTAGCTGAAATAAACTGGCATGCTATGCTCGGGGATAGATTAATAGAGATACAGTGGCAGACATTTAAGGGTATACTTCTAAATACTTAAATTAAGTATATTGCGACAATAAAGAAATATCGGGGTCAGGGGGGAACTATCTATTGTTATCCAAGTACTGAATTTCAGGAAAAAAATATATAACTGCAAAAAAATGAGTAGCAGCTCAGATAATGTTCAGAATATAATGAAATATAATGAAACATGAAGAATGACTATAGGGATAATCAGGAAGAAGACATTAATATATGGAAGGCAGATAGCTAGGAACAGAAAATCAGATAGCGTATTTCTACAGGTATTTAAACAGTACAGGAGCAGGTAAAGTGAAAGGTGATCCTCTTGAGAGTGAGAACTAATAGTAAATAGTGAATGAAATGAACAAACATTTTGCTTTCTCCTTCACTGGAGACAATGCGAAAAGAGCAGGTGTTGGAAGTTAGAGGAAAGCTTTCTGAAATTACAATCACGATGGAACCAATGAGAAGCAAACCAAAGGAGCTGTGGGCTGACAAACCTTTAGGTCCAGATGGATTTCATCCCCAGGGTCTTTAAGGAGTTTGCCAATAAGCTAAAGTAGCAAATATATCCCTTCTATTCAAGAATGGAGGGTGGCAGTGAACAGGAAATTATAATTAACTTGACATTTATCATAGGGGAGGTATTGGAATTGATTATTAAACAGATTAAAGTGGCACACTTAGAAAACTTCAAGGTAATCTGAAAGAGGCAGAATGGTTTTATCAAAGAGAAATCCTGTTTAACTAGTTTATTGGAGTTCATTGTATGAATACATGCTCTGTGGATAAAAGTCTGCTGTTGTCATATATTTGGATTTCAAGAAGACATTTAACAAAATACCACATCAAAGGTTATTGTGAAAGATAAAATCTCATGATATAGGAGTTAACACACTATCATTGATGGAAGATTGGCTTTCTTGCTGTAAACAGAAACTATGCAAAAAAAAATGGGTATGTCTGACTGGCAGGATGAGATGAGGATTCTGTGCTGGGCCCTCAATGTTTTACAAGTTAAGTCCATAACTAAGATGAGGGTAGCATAGGCATGGCTGCTAAATGAGTAGATGATATCAAAATAGGTGGGGAAGTATGCTGTGAAGAGGACAGAAGGAAGTTGCAGATCAATATAGATAGCTTGAGCAAGTGAGTAAAATCTGACGGGTGAAGCATAATGTGAGAAGTTCTAAAATTGATCACTTTGGCAGGATGAATTTTTTAAAAAAGTAAATTACTTAATTGGGCAGCAATGATTGCAGAATTCTGAGGTGCAGAGGGATTGAAGTGTCCTGATTGAAGAGTTACAAAAAATTGATGCTCAGGTACAATACATATAATGGGATGCTATCCTTAATGATGGCAGGAATTGAACAAAATGTAAGGATATTTTGCTTCTTTTTTAATATAGCAATGATAGTTGTGTAAATTTGGAACTCTGTCTCAGAAGGCAACGAAGGTTTAACCTTTGCTTGGCAAGAGAATCGAGGGTTATTGTGAGAGGTGGGAATGTGGAATTCAAAACACAAACGGTTCAGCAATGATTTTATTGATTAGCAGATGAGTCTCATGAGGCTGAATGGACTATCGCTACTCCTATTTTGTACGTTTATAGATCACCCACAGTGCCAGTCTGTACAATCAAATCAAACATCATCCATTGTGCTACTTAGTGAAATCAATACTTTTTTGGAAATCAAAGCCTGTTTTCCCCACTTTCGGGAAAGTGCAATAGCAGTGAATCAATGCCATGATTCCTGCTGCTTTCTATCTAGGTCTTTCAGTTGTATGGACACAATAAGGATGGTCACTGAAACTATTGTCCATTTCTCTCCCTCACTCAGACTGACAGAATGTACAGTGAACAGCCGGTGTCTACACTTTCCCCAATAGAAGTGAGCACTGTACCTTTGGGAGCCCTGCTGCATGTTTCATCTGCTCCCCACCAACTGAAGCAGTCTGCCCACGGCAGGGGTGATTGGAAGGAAGCAAACAGGTAGTACAGACTGTAGGCGAGGATGCAGGAGTAAGAAATGTTGGCAATTGTAATCAGAAGGACCATGGTGATTCCGACACCCTAAAATAGAAAAAAGAACTGAATATAAATTGGGAACTACTGACTTAAAATAAATTCCTTGATGTAGATTTAGCTGGTCAAACAAATGATTGTGTTTTGCTACAGTCGGTCTCCATGGAGACCAGTGAGACTGGCCATACTGACCACATCTGAAGGGAAACATCACTGACTCGACTCATTCTGGATCAGAGTCTCAGAGTTGAAGCATGAATTAGAGACACTCTGACTCATAAGGAGATGGTTGAAATAAAGAGGTAATTTTATTTAGTACGAGGCTGAGCCGGAGAAGCAAAAATCACTCCAAAGTTTCAGATTTAATTAAGCACTTTGAATAACCATGAATTAAACTGACCAATAAACAGATCTGAGCTGTAAATGGATAAACTGACAATGAAACAGGCAAGCATTTTGAAGAAATTTTTTGGGACAAAATAAACAGAAAAATTTTCCCAAAAAGACTAAAAAAATCACTTTCGCGGTGTGTCATGACTTTATGGGACGAGTACACCAATAATTATATCCCACTGTAATAAAGGTTATTACAAATTGTGTAGCATCCCAATTAAGAGCACCAAGGTTACGATATTACCAAACCAAGTGTTATTCAGGACAAAAGCAATTCAGACCAACTTTTATCATGAACAGAAAGTAACTTTATTTATTGTAAACACAGTTGACTTTAACTAATTTCAGTGAAGAGAAAGGATTATTAATCTACCACTGCGCAACTTATATTCTCCTGTTTAAAAACCCCTAATACACACAAATACTCAGTCACAATTAAGATGGAAAAAAAGACAGATGTTTTGACACAAATATTGTGTCGAAAAAAATAGACAGGAAAAACATCAAAATTATGAAGCTGAAAAAGCTGATGGAGTGTTAAAATTTAGTATTGATATAGTACAGGAATGAACGAGGATAAGTACAAGGAAACCAAAAACGTGTTGTGTGAGGAATGAATTAGTTTTTACATTTGTGAGGATATGTAGGAGAACAAATGGGAATAAAATGGAAATATCTCCACGACCCAACGGCTTTCATCCTGACGGGATTACAGGAAGCTGGTGGGGAAATTTTGGATGCTTCTTCTCAGCTTTAATCATTCCTACTTAATACAGAGTATTCTTGATTTTGAATGACACAGAGAGAGATTCCAGAATTTGCCTTCCCTTCTTTCTGACTTTTTACTTTTAAATAATATTTCTCCAGGATCTTGCAATTGCATGGAGATAATTTGAGGCATTTCAGTTGATCTGATCATACTGAAACACCAGGAGCTGCAACTTGTTTAAACTCTGCCAGCTGTCCATTTACTTCTAGTTTCCCACTCCCATATTCATTTTCCATATCAAATGCTTTCTCTTGAAAAGTTTTACTTTCTGACCTTGAGCCTTTACAACTTCTTAAATATAATATTGACTTAAGAATTTCCTCTTTTGTTTTTCAATTATTTGTATTTTATAGTAACAAATTGCTTTAAAATGACTGATTTTTCCACAACTGTGTGATTGTGCTCCTACTTTTGGACACTCTTTACCTTTGTCGGGATTGATCATGTGACACTGAAAACACTTTGAGATGGTGTTTGGTGTGATTTTTCCATTTGGATTGCTGGAGGTTTCATGTATGCCCTCCCTTGTGACCTACATCTACTCCTATTTTGTATTTTTATAGATCACTCACAGTGTTGGCCTGCAAAATCAAATCAAGCATTACCCATTGTGCCACTTAGTGCAATCAAGGCTTTTTTCGAAGTCAAAGCATGCTTTCCCCACTTTCAGGAATTCCCCTCACCCAGCTTACTCCATGGAGCATCAGTTTCCCTTTGAATGAATACACACTTCTTTTTCTGAAGTTCCATTTGCCTAAGAACTTGCACTGATGCCTCCACTGTTACATCCTCCCTGGCTTGTAAAATGTTTGACAAGGGCTCATCTGCCATCCTGACTACAATCCGACTGTGAATCAGCTCCGCCTTCAACTCTCCTAAGAGCATTTCAGTGTCCACCTAGAAAGATCGTTCATAAGTAAACATCTGCTTTGCCCTGGCCTCTACGTTCTTCATTTAGAATTTAAGTCTTTCAAAATTTAAATTTTGACCGAAACTGAAATGTAGATCCAGTGCCTGTAAAACTTTTTCAAAAAACGATGCTGCATTCTCATTAATTCACTGTCTTGTTAATATGTCATTTGTGACGTTTTCCATTAAATATTGACCTCACCTTTCTGGTATTTCTTACATAATGTGGAAATAGTCCTGTATGTATTGAAACTATTCTTCCGTTCCTCCTGTTCCTACATCTGGTGTGCTCCCTCAGTCAAGGGAGGTTATTTCCAGGTGAATTAATTTGGCTCTTGTGCTTCTCCTGAGCTCTGCAGCTCTTTCTGGGTCTGTTGCAGCATCTATCCGATGTAATAGAGACACTGCTCACCGCTTTCAGGTCTCTGCGTATATTGTTCAGCTATTGGCTGTACCCACAATGTCACCGATATCTTTTGAATCCTTGAAAACATTCTTTTATGATTTTCTGCACCACAACGTTCACATTAGATACTGACTTTGTTGGAGATAGCAAGAACTGCGGATGCTGGAGTCAGAGCCAACGTGTTGTGGAGCTGGAGGAACACAGCAGGTCAGGCAGCTTCAGAGAAGCAGGAAAGCTGACGTTTCAGGTCGTGACCCTTTGCCAGGACTGGGGAGGGGGAAGGGAGCTTGGAAAGAAATAGAGGGAGGAGAGGTGGGGCTGGGGGAAGATCGGTGGGATGCAGATATGGGTAGTGGGGATTGGTCAGTGGGAAGGCTGGGACGGACAGGTGGGAGAGAAGATGGACAGGAAGTGTCAGGGCAAGGAGGCGAGAGGGAGGAGAGGTGGGGCTGTGGAAAGGTAGGTGGGGTGGTGACAGGTGGATGTAGTAGTGGGTAGAGGGATTGGTCGATGGAAAGGGTGGGGCAGTCATGTTGGGAAGAAGATGGACAGGTTGTGTCAGGTCAAGGGGTGGGGGCGGATGAGAGGGAGGAGGACTGGAAATGGGATGCGACTGAGAGCTGTGCGATTCTGAAACTAGTGCATTCTACATTCAGGCTCTATCTCCTTCCCAAAATCCACAAATCTGACTACCCCAGTTGACCTATTGTCTCTGCCTGCTCCTGCTCCACTGAACTCATCTCCACTTACCTTGACTCTGTTTTCTACCCCTGGCCCAGGAACTCCCCACCTACATTCGGGACACTATTCATCCCGTCTACCTCCTCCAAGACTTTCAATTTCCCGGCCCACTAAGCCTCACCTTCACTATGGACATCCAATCCCTGTACACTTGTGTCCCCCACGCAGATGGCTTCTTCCTCTCCCGCAGGCCCAACCAGTCCCCCTCCACCAACACCCTCATCTGCTTAACTGAACTCGTCCTTACCCTCAACAACTTCTCCTTTAACTCCTCCTACTTCCTACAAACTAAAGGGGGTGGCTATGGGCACCTGTATGGGCCCGAGTTATGCCTGCCTCTTGTAGGATACATGGAACAGTCCTTTTTCTGCTATTACACTAGGACCATCTCTCACCTCTTCCTCCATTACATTGATGACTGTATCAGCACTGCGTCATGCTCCCATTAGAAGCTCGAACAGTTCAAATCCTTTTGCCCCAACCTCAAATTTGCCTCGACCATCTCCGATACCTTCCCCTTCTTCCTGGGCATCTGTCTCCATTTCCGGTCACTGTCTCAGCACTGACATCTATTTCAAGACCACCGACTCCCACAGCTACCTGGACCACACCTCCTCTCACCCACCATCCTGCAAGAGTGCGATCACCTACTCTCACTTCCTCCGCCTCCACCACGATTGCTCCCAAGATGGAGTGTTCCACTCCTGGACATCCCAGATGTCCTCCTATTTCAAGGACCACAACTGCGCCCCTCCGTTGATTGAAAATGCCCTCAACCGCATTTTTGCATTTACCACACTTCTGCCCTCAAACCCCCTGTCCCTCCAACAAAACTAAAGACAGAGTCCCCCCGGTCCTCACATACTACCTCACTAACCTCCGCATCCAGTGCATCATCCTCCGCCACTTCCGTCACCTACAACCTGACCTCACAACCAAAGACATATTTCCCTCCCCACCCCATCTGCTTTTCATAGGTACCGTTCACTCCCCAACTCCCTCGTCCGCTCCACACTCCCCACCAACCCCACCACACCCGGCACCTTTCCCTGCCACTGCAGGAGATGCTACAAATGCCCTTACATCTCCCTTCTCACCTCCACCTGAGGCCCAAAGCTAACTTTCCATATCCGACAGGGGTTCACCTGTACGTCTTCCAACCTGGTTTACTATATCCGTTGCTCCCAATGTGGCCTCCTCTACATCGGTGAGACCAAACGTAGACTCGGTGACAGATTTGTGGAGCACCTACGCGCTCTATGCTATAATCAACAACACTTTCAGGTTGCTAACCATTTTAACTACACCTCCCAACCCCTGGGTGACACGTCCTTCCTGGGTCTCCATCAATGCCACAATGACGCCACATGCAAACTGAAGGAACAATACCTTATATTCCACCTCAGGAGCTTACAGCCTGATGGCCTGAACACTGACTTTGTTGCTTCTATTTACCTATCCACTTCCACCATGTTTTATTATACTCTTGAGTTTTTTAGGGGTAGGGACCTGTGGATGGGGCATAGTGAATTCTTGGGAGTGCATGTCAGTAGTTGATAACTAGTGTAGATTTGAGCCAGTTTATTTGGAGACTTAATATTATTTACGGAAGAGTCCGGTCAATAGTTTGATAGAGTTTAATTAAAGAACAATAGTAGAGCCTGATAATTCCACTTTTTTCCCTTGATAAAGTGTTCAATAAAGTTGTCTTGGATCTTCCCTGACACTTGTCCCCTTCGCCTATCTCACTGTGTAACGTGTCTGAATTGAAAAGGGTTACTGTAAACTGATCCAAGTCAGTCAGGTTACATTTACCCACCCTAAGCCTAACCCAAACCCTAACCCTTACACTTTACAACAGGAAGAAGGGAGTGAAGGCGATCAGCTACAAGGACAGAGGTTTGCATTCAGCCAGTGCCCCCTTCTTGATGCCAGGCATTTGGTACCATTGAACGAGGAGCCTGCTAGCAACACAAAAAAGAATGAATTGCTCCTTGGATTTGTTGCATGGTGCTTCCCTTGCCCCTCACTGGGTCAATACAAGTAGCAGTGGAATAAGATCCTTTGTATGAGTAACTGCCCAACGAAGGGCTCGATTGGCAGCAAACTGGGGCATGGGGTGGATGGCAGTGGGAAGGAGAAGGCCATCCATGAGCTTCCTTCCCCAGACCTTTACAGGGCAGAGGTTGGAAGGCAATGATATTCCACTCAATTACATGGCCCCATATCACTGACCACAGTGAAGGGTGTTAAACTCAGCCTCTGCTCACTGTCTCTTCACACTTTATATCTCGGTTAATCCATTGTGCAGCACATCTGAACGCGGACACTCTGTCCATATTCAGCTCAACTCAGATCTATTGAAAAATGCAACCGACATATGATCTGAGTATTGTGACTCATTTAAATTGCTGTTAAGCTTATTTGCTGAAGGACACTAACCTTGTAAAATGGGCACGGCTTTCCACACTGCAACAGGTCCGAGGCTGGCAAACTGCCCAAAGGAACATTCCAAGAAAAACATTGGTATCCCAACGAGTGCCAGCATGAGAACATAGGGAATCAGGAACGCACCTGGAAAATATAGGAAAGGAATTCAATGAGGGAAAAAAATCACCCACTGACACTGAGCTCCCTTGTTGGTACCAGATGGATTGGGTTAAAATTACTCTGAACCCTCTCTTAAACTCTGGGTCTGCCCATTATTCCATCTATCATTCTTTTAATTCATTCATGGGTTGAGGGCATCGCTGGTTAGGCCAGCATTTATTGCAAATCCCTAATTGCCCAGAGGGTCATTAAGAGTCAACCACATCGCTGTGGGTCTGGATTCACATGCAGGCCAGACCAGGTAGGGAACACAGATTTCCTTCCTGAAGGGCATCAGTGACCAGATGAGCTTTTCCTGACAATCGGCAATGGTTTCATGGTCATAATTAGACACTTATTTCCAGAATTTTATTGAATTCAGATTACATCATCTGTCATGGCGGGATTTGAATCTAAATCCGCCGAACATTACCTAAATCTCTGGATTAATAGTCTAGCGATAAAACCATTAGGCTATCACATACCTTGTTTGATCTAATCCCACACAAAGTAAAAGTCAACTTTATTGTGTCCTTCCTTTGGCTGGGATTATTCTATGATGTTATGGATCTGAACGTAGATTAACACATGGTAGATGAAGAGCTCTCAGCTGCAGTTCCTAGAGTTACACAGTGAATTGCAGCACACAGAAATTCCCACATTTTCACATTCACAAACTTGCTGAACATTTTTTTTGCCTCTTCACACAATGATATTGTGACATTTTTACCAGCTTGTTCCTGGTTTCCACTGATCCCTAATTTATGACAAGCTAGCACATGATCTTGGTCCTGCCATTTCTTTGAGAATGAAGAATTTAGGAAGGTTGCAGTCAACAGGTTGCAGGCTTCCCAGTATCCAGTCAGGCGGATCTGTGACTGGCAACTTTCCCCCACAGTGGGTGCAAGGGGAGGCAGAGTCTTTGTTGGGGACAGTTGGATCTTCGTGTGTTCCCAGAGTTTCTCTGGAGAGGAATCAGAAGTGGGGTTAGGATGTTCCTGCCTACTCTATAATGCTGGATGATGTGTGCCTCTGTAAGATGAACTGTGATGGTTGTTGACTTGAAATTTCATCGATGGGTTGTCTCTAAGTGTACTTTTGGGCTTGGGTTTAAATTGCAAGTTCAACTTTGACTAGCTGAGGTGGCTGTATAGCAAGTAGTCTTGGGCATGACTGGAGATTCCCTCAGAATGTCCTGCATGCCGCATGGGCACAGTGAGGTATCAGGTGCAAGGGTTTCGAATCCATGTGGTCTTGAAGCAATCTTTTTGCTTAAAGGAGGCATTGATTATGGACAGATACATTAGACTGGACTTTCATTTTCATTGCAGCTCCCAATACCATGGTTTCCAAGTGTTCACCTTCATGCCAGGCACAGCCAAGTCAGATGCTGCAATCAGCAAAGGTGACAATGTTGACCTTGGGAGGGGCAACCCAGATGATTTCACAGAGATCTATGTGGGTGTTACCTCTGTCAGCTGGGCTCACCTTTCAGATTGGAGGATAAACACTGATGAGTGGTACATGCTGCTGGTATTGGGTGGGCAGGTCCAGGGGAACAGAGTGTTCAGAATGGCCGATTGCGGTCTGGTCAGCTTGTTGGTGATAGTTTTCTTCACCGTGAGACATTGACCAGGTTATTGTTCATCTTGAGGTCGATCTGAGCAATAGAAGGTGCGACCAGCATTGTGTTCTGCCAGGCTACATTTCTCTGAGAGACGGATCTCATTCAGGGCTGCACTGTTAGTCTCTAGTCTGGCTAAATCACGGCCCACCGGAGAGAAGTGTCATTGAGGTGACTATCATCTGAGTCGGACTGTATTCTCCTCTTTGAGAAGGCAAGCTTCAGAATTTCTTTTTACACTTTCCCTCATTCCACCTTTTGAAGGGAGTTTGTTTCTTCTCTGTTGCGCATTGCCTGTTGACTGTGACAAGCCAACTGAACATTGGAAAGGTGGCCATTGGTCTAGGTCTCTCTTCAGTTCAGCAACAAGAAGTGCTGTCTTTTGATCTTCCACTGCTGTTAAACTGACAACTAAAAATCAACAGAATGCAGTAATCCCAATTTACAAATCTAACCACAGTGGCTGACTGAGGAGACCAATAACTGAAGGAGGTAGGTACTGGGCAGTGAACATATCTGATCTGGATAGTTCATGCTGTTTAAAAGTAACACAAATAAATATATATGATCTATCTTAATACCAACCTTAACTCTATTTGATTTCCACAACCACCGAAGCATACACAAATACATATAACGATAAACCATCGTTTTGACAATTCCCTCAACACAAAAAAAAACATGGATTGTACATAAAACAGAGTATGCTGGAGAAACTCAACAGGTTTGGCAGGTTCTGTACAGAGAAAAACAGAGTGCAGTGACCCTTCACAGATCTTATGTACAAAATGCTGCAACATCTGCTGAATTTCACCGGTACATTTTGTTTTGTTTTAGATTTCACAACACTACCGTCTCCGTTTCTGTAAGCCAGGAAGGGAAATCTCCAGACGTTGCCCAGACTCACAGCACAGCCAAACATCGAGAGCAAGTAGTCAGTTTTTGAGGACCAGTTACCTCGCTCCACATTCTGGTCACCTCCGTCGTTACGTTTATTAGTAGCATTCTGGAAAGAGAGGAAATCGCCAACTTAGAAATGAGTCTTTCTTGGACAAGAACTCAAGCAAAAAGTAGAAAAAGTCTGTCCCGATACATAAGTACTGTTTTTCCGAGAAATTAGCAGAAATTGTCTCCAAGTTTGGAAACACCACAAAGGGATACCGCGATTCATAACAGCAAATGTCCCCAAATTATCAGCAACCACTTGGGCTTGTAAACGAGTTTCCTGTCATATTTTGATAAAATACTCACTGTGTCCTCTGGAGTTTGCCTTTGATGGTTTTTCTGTGAGGAAGCAGATAAAGACAAGTCTCTATGCTTCATTTTTCAAAGCCAATTCTTCCACAATATTGAGGAATTGGATGTAAATATTGGAGAGCACTTTCTTTCAAAGATTTTGAGCGTGCTACTGCTTCAGGAGTTTGGGGGTTAAAGGTGATTCAGCTGCTCATCAGGAAATGAAACTTTTCATCAGTCAGAATCTGTTTAAACTGGTTTGTTAGAGCTCTTTTAGTAAGTAACCTGGCCTATGAATAAAGGCGAACTGGTGGCTGTAGAATTATAAGGTGCCTCAGCAAAGGTGCTCTGGTTAAAAGGAGGGAGTTACTCTTCTGCGCTCACTGATAATGATTCCAGGGATAACCAAGTTCTGAGGGGGTTACAGCCAGTATTTGATCAATCTGCCTCTGAAACATTTCTACAGCAGATTACTTACATACGCTTCAGAATGTTCAGTACCAAACTGCTGTCATTCTTTGTCAAGAGGTTTCGGCAGATGGCAATTTTAAAAGGGATGAATCAGATGAATAATTGGGAACACAGGCTGCAGATCCTGAAAAAATGCTTCCTCCTAAATGCAACATTCCGTTGTGGTGAAAGATTATCCATTGGTTCCAGAGTTAATTTGCATTATAAATTATCCTTCAAAAGTTAATTTTATTCCAGTTATACTTAATGTGAAACTCTGTTTCAGTTGCATTGAGATCCTCTGCTCCAATTACACTAATACGCTCCACTCCAGTTACACGAGACATTGCTCCGATTAGACCGAAACTGTCTGATCCAGGTACACTGTCTGCTCTTTGCAGGGCAAAATGCAATGAAAAGGAAAAATATTAAAAACTCAACAGTGAGAAATATCATTCCATTTTTAAGATTCAAATAGTGAGTTCTGAATCTCATCAATGAGAGGTGACTACTCTATTTCCATGTATTTGTATTGCATTAGTGACTCAAACCACCTCAGCTGTACACAGCTCCCAATTTTCCCTGGTTTCCTGAGAAACTAGATGAAACCATTTCCAACCTTGACAGTCGAAGTGGTTGCCTAGGGACAGCAGTTCACTGGCTTGCTTCTCCGAGCCTTCATCCAACTCTGTCTTCAGCACAACATCCCAGCATGCTGCATGGACAATGTCATCTTCCACTCTGTGTTCCACGCAAGCCAGCACTGGCAAACAGATAATCTCACCACATCATCAGGTCTGCTTTCGGACCAGCTCAGTCAGCTTTACAGAGCGTTACTTTGTAGCTAAAGGATGCTTCTGGCTTACTTACTTTTCCACGTTACTTTGAGCGCAGGAACACACACATATCTCATACATGTTCACAGGATGAACCTGATGGCTCTTAGCTTCATTTCTCAGTGCTCACTCACTCGGCGGGTGTTATTGTCTGTGACTTGCACAGGTTTCCTCAGCAGGGAGGGGGACAGGGAGTTTGTCATGGTAAGAAGCACAAAACAGTCAAGAGGCTGGAAGAGTTGATGTATACCACTGTGCTATATCCACATAATTTCCGTAGCACATGCCAGCAACTCATTTTGCAAACATAGTGCATGTGCAGAAAGTGTGTACACATTACTGTGACATATTGTGCCTTTCCCAACTGAGGATGTCAAAGAGGGGTGTCTTGATAGCAGGGAAAATGGGGGTTTGAGAGCAATCTGTTGAAAGTGAGGATCTGACATTAACCATGAGGGACATCCAAGAGAATATGATAGATCTATGTGCCATTAGGCTTGAGAAGCCAGAGAAATTCTGATTGAAACTCACTTCCTGGATGAATAAGGACTTCCTTTCGTGGCGTGACATTCTGTTGGTTATATGGCAAGCAGCTGCTTCGCTGTGCAAAGTCCACGTGGACCAGGTTAGATTTACAATTCATGAATCTTTCAGTTGCTGAATAAATATTTCTCATCCATATCATAGAATGCTAGCCACATTTGGGGTACAGTTGGATGGTTTGTGTTGGGCAAACATTACCACAGACTCCATGCTTTAAATTTAGCCTCAGTGTGGTCAACAACAGAACAATTCAATGATCCCTGATGTCTGAGACCACCTGCAGTCACAGACTGGTGTTGCGAATGAGAGATGAGCAATGGTGGGCCATTACAACTTCTTTTATCCTTGGGATGGGTGAAAATGCTGCTCATCTCTCCACGGGGGCTACTTCACCAGGTCCAACAACAACAAAGGCCCTAGAGCAGATTTTATTTAACAGTGCAAGTGTAGATATATTTTCAAAAGTGCAAAGAACCTTACAGTGACGTGTCCCCCCTACCCCCATAATGTTTCTTCTTCCTTTCATCCCATTACCGCTAGATGCAGTCCCAACACCAATGGTGTGATGGCGGGGCAGTTGTGTTCCATTAGCCTGGGATGCTAAGCATGTGGCATCACAGGCAGAATGGAGGTGAAAGGGCCAGGTACCTCTGCGGTGCCCTGACAGGAAGCATTTGGGATCCTGTAAGAGGGTTCTCGTCTCTATGGCAACCTGCTCACATGACCCTGGTGAATAGCTATATCCACATTCACCTACTCATTCCTCACACACTCAAAATTAAATTCAAATTATAACATTGTGATTACATTCATGATTTATTGTTTGACAATTTTCATGATTTGAGAAGCCAGGGTTTATTTATTTACTTATTATCATGTGAATATTTTGATTTCAGGGATGATGAGGAGAAATAAGTTTCAATCAATTTAAGAACAAAAACAGAAATTAAAAATCCCAACAGGTCAGGCAGCATTTGTGAAGAGAAATCAGAGTTAACGTTTCGGGTCCGGTGACCCTTCTTCAGAACTGATGGTAGCTGGAAAAATATCAGTTTATATGCAGTAGGGTGGTGGGGAGGGGTTAAGGAGTAAACGTCAGGTGGGGATGGACCCCAAAGAGAGAGAACTGTTGGACAAAGGAGTTGATAATCATCTGGGTAGGAGGGTGAATAGTTGTTAATAGAGACTGTTAGTGACTAACAATATGTAGCGTGTAATGGCAGGCTATGTGGTAACAAGGCCTGGTGTGTGGGGTAGAGGGCTAGGACATGGGAGAGTTCAGGCCCTAAAATTATTGTACTCAATACTGAGTCCAGAAGGCTGCAGGGTCCCCAAGTGGAAAATGAGGTGTTGTTTTTCCAGCTTGCGCTGAGCTTCACTGGAACACTTCAGTAAGCCTGAGACAGAGGTGTTGTCTGGGGAACAGTATGGTGTGTTAAAGGGCAGGCAACTGGAAGGTCAGTGTCTGTTTTGTGGGCAGAATGTAAATGTTCTGTGAAGCGGTCACCCAGTCTATGCGTCTCTTCCCCAATATACAGGTGACCACATTGTGAGCAGTGAATGCAGTAGACTAGATTGTGGGAAGTGCAGATAAAGTGCTGCATTGGTTGTGATCTTTCAAGATTCTATAAACTCTGGAACAGTTCCTATGGATTGGAGGGTAGCTAATGTAACCCCTCTATTTATAAAGAAAACAGGGAATTACAGATCTGTAGTCTGACATTGCTAGTGCAGAAAACACTTCTAAAAGATTTAATAGCAGACCATTAGGACAAAAGTGATAGGATCAAGTAAAGTCTGTATGGATTTATGAAAGGGACATCATTTTGCAAATGTACAAGAGCTTTTGGGGGATGGAAGAAGTGGAGTTGATAAGGTGGAGCCAATGGATGTGATTTACTTGGCCATGATCTTAGAAATGGCAAAGCAGATCAAGGGGTCAGATGGCCTACTTCTGCTCCATACTTTTCCACTTGGCTTTGTATTGTCAGCAGATTTGGAAACATTACGTTTTGTCTCCATCTCCAAATCATTGATCTATCCTGTGAACAGCTGGGGTCCAAGTACTGATCCTTGCTGTGCTCCACTCATCACAGCCTGCCAGTGCGGGAACAATCCATTTACTCCTCCTGTCTGTGTTCTGTCTGGCAATCCATGACAGTACATTACCTCCTAACCCTTGCAATTTAATTTCTCTAACCAGCCTCGGTGAGGGACTTAATCAAAATCCTTCTGAAAATCGAACTGTATTGATTAGTGGGATGTGAGCATTGTAGTTGGGTCAGCACTTACTGCTATTATTGCCTCCATCAGCTCTTCTTTATCAAGCATCTGTAAAAAGCTCTGTAGGATCATACCGCCAACCAGGGAAGAAGACTCAGGAGGCAGGCAGGATTCAGGCAAGTGACAGACTTTATTCTTATTCAAGCAACAACCAATTAATGCAGAGAGAGGGCCAAAGATTTTCCCTGAATCTGGCCTTGACCTGAGAACCCAATCGTTCTCTTAATCAATGGCTCAGACTGGAAGAGAGATCAATGACACACTCTGATTTTTACACTGAAATACAGCATCTTTATACATTTTGTGTTGGAATAATTGCATACAGCGTGATCACTGTGTCTTTCCCCCTTATTCCATGCACACAATCCTGGGAAACTTCTAATCAATGATGGGCATTCCTATGGACAGCCCCAGGTTCCAATAATCTCATGGTATTTAATAGACATTGTAATCTCCAGGCCTCAGGATCGTTCTATGCATCCTATTATTTTACATTCCAAAGTTACTAGTTATACTCCTGGCTTCTGACCCAGACTTGTTTATCTCTAAGGACTGCTTGAATTCTGTTATTCTTTGCATTCCATGTGCT